GCAGTGAATGTGAAGAATAAGACGATCATCAGTAGTGCAGTCATGTTGTTCCTGACAAACCAACTCGCTGAGTGCCATCAATACCCCATTAACACCCGCACCAAGGGTCAGATTGGAGGCTAACAGGTGACAGCTGGTCACACACACTGTGCAATGGCAAGCTGCTGAGCACACTGTGGTGTTGTACACACTGACTTCCCGGAGGGGAACACAGTGATGTGCTCACAGCAACACCAGAGAAACCGCACAATCTGACAATTTTACAGCTCGCTCAGAGAGAGAGGTCGTTCAGCCCCTTGTGAGCACACTGGCTCTCTGTAACAGTTAGTCATCCACTGGAGTAGAGAGCATCACTGGGGGAGCGAGCGAGCACACACACGAAGGGGAAAGAGAGGGCAAGGAATGGGGTTAGAGTAGAGAGCTCCAGTGGGGGAGCGAGCCCCAGCACAGACACGATGGGGAGAGAGAGGGCAGGGAATGGGGTTAGAGTAGAGAGCTCCAGTGGGGTCTGGTTTGAGAGGTGAACTCTATCGGTAATATGTGTGTGAAAACCTGCATTATTTGGGAGGAACGTGGTTTGCGATGGTACAATGCTATGAGATGTTTGACATGCCGACTCTAGGCTAAGATTATTATAATTTTCATTTTTAACATTTTCAAGGCTGAGACTGATAGATTTTTTTAAAAAATAGAGGGATCAGGGGATGTGGGGATAGGGCAGGTAATTAGAGTTAGGTAGGAAGATCAGCCATGATCTTATCGAATGGCGGGGCAGGCTCGAGGCGCCGAATGGCCTACTCCTGCTCCTAAATTCTTATGTTCTTATGTTCTTAAGATGGGTTTTTAATTCTGCCTCTGGCTGCTGTGTACATTGGCGGTGTTTTCTGGTTGGGATGTGATCCCGGTAGTCCTGGCTGTATTCGGGAATAAACCTCCCAAATGCTATCTCCCCCTCCTCATGCAGTTAATCCCAGGAAAGATGGAGTCACTCAAGAACCAGCTGTAATCACTCTATACAATGATCAGAGTTTATATAAAGAAAGCCTTTGATTGCAGGAAATATGCTGTGTGTGGAATGCGGTGACTGTAATTTGCCACCTTGGTAACCAGCTCACGTTCTCTGCAGCTGTGTGATCTCTGGTCGTCAGTAACAATACAATAATAACAATAATCCTTGCATTTCATACAGCGCCTTTTCACGCTGTTGAGACATCTCAAAGCGCTTCACAGGTAACTCAAAGCTGTAAAGTGGAGTGAACGCATATTTTGTGGGTGAAAAATGCCTACCTCTCTGACCTCCTCTCTCCTCAAAACAGCACCCATTGCCTTCGATCCTCTGGGTCTGGCCTCCTCCTTGTCCCCGAGTCCTCCGCTCCACCCTCGGCGGCAGTGCTTTCAGCCACTATGCCCCGAGGCTCTGGAACTGCCTTCCTCACTCCCTTTACCTCGCTCCCTCTCTTCCTACTTTCAGGTCCCTTCTGAAAACTTTGCTTTTCGACCGCGCATTTGGTCACCTTCCTCCCCCGGCACGGCCCTGGGATCCATTACTGTGAAGCACTCTGAGACGCCGTCTGGGGTGGAGGGCGCTATATAAATCCATGTTGCTGTTGAAAAGCAGCAGCCAATTGGTTACATCAGTCTCCCCCAAACAGCAATGGTTTGAGTGACCAAATTTCTTTTTTTTCTTGGACAGATTATTACCCCTGGGAAAGCGATCCGCCAATCGACTAACATCTAGGTTTCTACTTACTGCTAGATCTTTAATCTTCCTCAGAACAGGGCAATAATGGGAGCTCCATTTAACATCTCATCTGAAAGCCGGTGTCTCTGACGATCCTGTGCCCCCCCCTCGCCCCTCGCCCCTGCCCCTCACCCCTGCCCCTTGCCCCCCGCATTGTTGTTGGTTGTATCTCTCCTCCCAGCGCAGTCCTCACCGGGTCACCTGGGCGCAGTGTCGTGAGGACCGATTAAACTCTTAATGATGAAAAATAATGATTCATCCGGGGAAGCGAGCTGAACAGAGACTGTTTAACGCTCCTCAAATAAACAGATCCCCTCAGGAGTTAGCGCTGTGTCGAAAGATAGAGAGAGCTTCATTACCGTACACTCAGACTCCATTAAGTGTGGAGATTAATGTGAAAAGGTTAATTAAAATTCAATTTTCCTCGAATATGGAAGTAGTTACTCGGAATGATTTCACTGATCAACAATATCACAGAGCAGTAAATAGGAGCAATACTGACTCGCAGCACAGGACACACACTGACATTCCAGCGCTGATCTAGGTGACGCATAAAGGGGACCATCTTGTCTCTCCACCATTCCTTATCCTGCTTTACCTTATTCTTCCCCCTGAAATCTGTCTCCCGCTTGTGTTTACGGCTCAGGTCTGTTCCTGGTATGATTCGTTCTCCTATGAGGACAGGATGGTGTTTAAGGTGGGTCATTCTGGAAGGAAAATAATTACATTTGATCCAGTGTCTTTCACATGGGGGAGAACGTCTCTCAGCACTTTATGGGTTTTACTGTATAGTGTAGTCACTGTGCGTGCTGTGGGTGAATGAGGTCAGATGGGTCAAAGGGACATCTTCACCCAAACCCATCTTGTGATCAAGTCTCAACCAACAGCCACGTGTAGGAATGACTAGCCTGCTCATGCCTGTCCCTGACCCTTAGCCAGACTTTGGCTTGAGTTTGTGTACCAACTGATTACATCTTTTACTCCTTGTGTCCCACAGTCTGACCCCTGAGCCCTCGATACCTGACCCAGACTGTCTGGGGGGTGGGGAAGGGGTGGGTGGGGACAGGCTTTATTCATTGGGAGCCATTGGGAGTGTTATTGTGTCACGGGTTACTTACCGTTTTGCTGTGGATGTAGCAGAGCAGACTGGAGCCTGTGTATAAATATCTCATTATCTGGGGGGATTAAATGGCTGACGAGTTAACGAACAAACTGATAACTCGCTGGAGCCTGTGGCTTTCCACTTGTTGTGCTGAGTGAGAACACACATTCCCCAGGTTGCGCTGTGCCGGAAAATGTCTGGTTAGCGGTAACCAGAGTTATCTGACCATCCACCCCCCCCCCAATACCCAAGTCAACACAAAACTAATCTGCGTTACAAAGTGGCGCCCGGTTTCAGGACTCTTATATTAATTTATCTCAATATCCATTTATATCAACGTATAAAACATATGAAACGCTCTATATTGTGCTCAGCACAGGAGATCATTCAGCCATTCCCCTGCTCTCTCTCTCCCCATCATGTCTGTGCTGGGGCTCGCTCCCCCACTGGAGCTCTCTACTCTAACCCCATTCCCTGCTCTCTCTCTCCCCATCGTGTCTGTGCTGGGGCTCGCTCCCCCACTGGAGCTCTCTGCTCTAACCCCATTCCCTGCTCTCTCTCTCCCCATCGTGTCTGTGCTGGGGCTCGCTCCCCCACTGGAGCTCTCTGCTCTAACCCCATTCCCTGCTCTCTCTCTCCCCATCGTGTCTGTGTTGGGGCTCGGTCCCCCACTGGAGCTCTCTGCTCTAACCCCATGCTGTACTTTTTCTGTCATTGAGCCTCTCCGCTCATTCCTGGCCAGATCTCTGACTGTGTATCAGTATCGTCTAAACACAGCTTCAGTATTCCCAGCCTTTCCCTTCATTCCCAATAGATTCCTCGGTTCAGTTGTTGTTGGACAATGTTTTGCCACTTTTGTGGAACTCGATTAACCCCGCTGTAGCTCACAGTGGGCAAGCGCTGTGTCCAGGACGCTGAATGCCAGGAGGAGCACTGGGAGTGTCACACTTAGCACAGCTCTGTTGTTCTTTCCCTAAATGGGAAACAGCTGGCACAGCTGGCAGACATCAAAGTGGCAGCTTTACCAGCTGTTTATGCCACAATCCTCTTTGGCTCATCACAGTCCCTCGGTCACCAGCCACTGTCTTTCACACCACTCAGAGAGTGAGAGGGAGAGCGCGAGAGAGAGGTGAAAGTATTAGAGTGAGAGTGTGAGAGCAAGTGATAGAATGAGAGAGCAAAAGATGAAAGGATAGTGCGAGAGCGAGAGAGGAGAAAGCAAGAGAGTGAGAGAGCTAGAATGATAGAGCGTACGATAGAATGAGAGAGCAAGAGAGGAGAGGAGAGAGTGAGAGCGAGAGAGAGATAGTGCGAGAGAATGATATAATGAGTGTGACAGAGCAAGTGATAGAATGAGGGTGAGAGCAAGAGCGAGAGAGTATGTTAGAGTGAGCGAGAGTGAGTCAGAGAGAGACAGAGAGACAGAATAATAATAATAATCCTTGCATTTGATATAGCATTGTATCACATTTTCGAGATGCCTCAAAGGGCTTCACAGAATCTACTGTAAAGTGAATTGAAGAGAGAGAGTCTAGAGAGAGAGAGACAGCCTGCAGCCCAGGCAGATACAAGGCGTCAGAAATCAACCAGTCTGCACACATTAACAGGTTTGTCTCAGTGGCTTTTATCGGTGTGGCCTCCACATGAAGGAGCACAGAGGAAATGAAATGGGGCCAGAAATTACCATTTAGATAAACTCAGTGGCTGGGATGGCTTCCACTCCATTAAGTGCAGTTTGTCTGGATTAATGGTGGTTTGTGATTTGGCTGTGTTGCCACTCGGGAGGGAGGGGAGTTGGTATCTGTGCACAGCCTTTGCTGGGAGAAGCCCCAGCTCTCACCCTCAGCACTTGTCAGTGGCTCCCAGCGACTCACTCGGTCCCATTTTCTGCTCCAGTAACTACAAACGGCAGCGTAGCTCTCAGCACTCACTGAGCTCTGATTGTCTGGTGATGGCCTTAGCAACCAGAGCACTTGAAATTTCCTTCCCTCGTCTCAACGAAACATCTCTGAGTCCTGTAGTTTAGTGTTTAGTGCACTCGCCTCGCAAGCGAGAGGACCCGAGTTCAATTCCGGGAGAGGGCGAAACCTTAGGCAAGTTTCCTTACTCCACACACCTCTGTTTACCAGCAGTCAGTAGGAACCCGGTTGTTAGTCGATTGGCGGATCACTTTCTGGAGGTAAAAATAATCCCTCAAAAAAATTGATCTCTCCATGCACAACTGTTTGTGGGGACGCTGCTGTGTGCAATTGGCTTCCGAGTTTTGGCCACTAAATCCACAGTATATTTACAGTCTATTCTGTGAAGCGTTTTGAGACGTCTCGAAGACGTGATAAGGCGCTTTATCAAATGCAAGAATTATTATTATTATCTTAAACAGCATCTCCAAACAATGTCCACCCCCACCCCAGAAATGCATGAGAGCGCCAGACTGGACATGAGATTAACACACGACTTCCTGACCCCAGTGCTGACAGCCTGACTGATTGATAGCTTTTGTTCTGAGACGGATATCGAAATCCATTTTCAAGTAGACGAAGTGGAACCTGTGGTATGGACTGAAGGTTTACTGACGTGCCTGTGCTGGGGCTCGCTCCCCCACTGGAGCTCTCTACTCTAACCCCATTCCCTGCTCTGTCTCTCCTCATCGTGTCTGTGCTGGGGCTCACTCCCCCACTGGAGCTCTCTACTCTAACCCCATTCCCTGCTCTCTCTCTCCCCATCGTGTCTGTGCTGGGGCTCACTCCCCCACTGGAGCTCTCTACTCTAACCCCATTCCCTGCTCTCTCTCCCCATTGTGTCTGTGCTGGGGCTCGCTCCCCCACTGGAGCTCTCTACTCTAACCCAATTCCCTGCTCTCTCTCTCTCCCATCGTGTCTGTGCTGGGGCTTGCTCCCCCACTGGAGCTCTCTACTCTAACCCCATTCCCTGCTCTTTCTCTCTCCCCATCGTGTCTGTGCTGGGGCTCACTCCCCCACTGGAGCTCTCTACTCTAACCCATTCCCTGCTCTGTCTCTCCCCATCGTGTCTGTGCTGGGGCTCGCTCCCCCACTGGAGCTCTCTACTCTAACCCATTCCCTGCTCTCTCTCCCCATCGTGTCTGTGCTGGGGCTCGCTCCCCCACTGGAGCTCTCTACTCTAACCCAATTCCTGCTCTCTCTCTCTCCCATCGTGTCTGTGCTGGGGCTTGCTCCCCCACTGGAGCTCTCTACTCTAACCCCATTCCCTGCTCTTTCTCTCTCCCCATCGTGTCTGTGCTGGGGCTCACTCCCCCACTGGAGCTCTCTCTCCACCACGGGGCTGTGCTGGGGCTCACTCCCATTATGTGACAGTAACAGAATGCTGTCTGAGAACTCTGTGATGTGAAGATCTCTACCTGCAGCTCCCTGAGTGCATGAGAGCAGAGCTAATGGCGAAACAACAGAAACATCAATCTCCTCACTCAGTGACAGGAAAAACCTCCCAGTTACATGGTGCTCTCTTTCTTTCTTTCTCTCGCTCCCTCGCTCGCACGCTCACTCTCTGCCCTCCGGTCTCAGATAAAGATAGAAACCTGGACACAGTTTTTACATCAGCAATATTTATATGAAATATTTTCTGCCATGCGATTCATGTCCCAACCCCCATCCCATCAGTGGCTAAATTTCCAGCCCGCACCCCCACCCGCCCACCACCACCACCACAACATCCACCCCCAACTACCCCCTTCCCCCCATGAGCCCACCCCCCTTCCCCTCCCCCACATCTGTCATCTTGAACTCTGCTGAAGCAAAAAAGACCTCACTCTCTTTTTCCGCATCATCTCCCTCTCTTTCTGTCACTCTCTCTCGCTCCCTTGCTCTCTCTCATCTCTCTCTCTCACTCTGTTCCCATCACTCATTCTCATGCTGCATCTCGCGCTCTCTTTCTGTCTCCCTCTCTCATTCTTTTGGTCCCTTTCTCACTCCCTTGCTCCCGCACTCTCTTGTCTCTGTCTCTCTCTCTCTTGCTCAGCGTGGGGAGTGACAGCAGCACAGACACGATGGGGAGAGAGCGCGAGCAGGGATTGGGGTTAGAGTAGAGAGCTCCATTGGAGGAGTGAGCACCAGCACAGACACAATGTTGTCTCGCCCAAAGGACAGTATCTCCGACAGTGAACTGGACTGTGAGCTGCTGTTTCGTGTGTGCGTTGCCTCACAGTCCTGTTACTACCATCTGCCAATGCCCTGTGTGCTGCTGCCTGAGCTCAGTGCGGGAGCGAGTGAGTGCAATAGCCGGCAGGCAATTACATTACATTGGCCGCACAAGGGAAAGGTTACATCTACAGCTCTGTCAGCTCAGCCTACTGCGTCTGTATCTCTGCTTCTGTCCAAAAAAATAATAATAATGTGGTCGCTCAATCCACGACTGTTTGTGGGACACTGCTGTATGCAGTTAGCTGCCACGTTTTGCCCCCAAAATACACAGTCACTACACTTTACAGTATGTCCTGTGAAGCACTTTGAGACGACTAACGACGTGAAAAGGATTATTCTCGCGGCAGTATGCCAGCTAACGTTGCCGGCTCGGGGAGGGTAACCAGTGGTGACAGGATTCCAGTGGAGCATTTCCACATGGTTACCCCCGCTGTGTGCTCCTGAGGCAGCTCACACCCCGCCCACCCCACCCGGCTCTGCAGTGGAGCATTAGCCACAGAGCAACACACACACACTGGGGCTGCTGCACGGCTGCTCAGGTTGCATTGCTGCTGCGTGTGGGGTTAGGCGTTGGTGGTGCTGCTGGTCTGTGAGTCCGAGCCCCCCTTCCTGCCTCCTCCCTCCTACCCAAGCTCCTCCCTCCCTCCCTCTCTCCCCAGATTCCTCCCCTTCCTCTCCAGGAACGTATAATAATAATACTTAATTTGATGTAACGCCTTGTCACATCATTGAGACGCCTCAAATCGCTTCACAGCATATACTGTAATGGCTGTGGGCAAACTGGGCTGCCACATTCACAGTCACTACACTTTACAGAATATAATGTGAGATGGTTTCCTGATGTGATAAGCTGCTGTATCGAATGCACAGCTTATTATTATTATCAAACACTCTGGGACTCTACCCCGCATGAAGGACTCTACATAAATGCACATTGTTGTTGTTGTCCTCACAGCCCAAAGTCCTCTCCGCTCGGGTGCAAATAGTTCGGTCACATCCTTCAATGAAGTTGAACACCGCCACCATTTTGCTGTCGTGGTTGTTGAAAGCATTAACATTTTAATGCGTTTCGACCACATTGGTCACAACAGTTAAATTCCAATGTAAAACCCGTCTCCATCAATCAGGTTTGTGTGACAGCTTGATGGTGATGATGGGAAGGGGTTTTATGTACGTTCCGTGGATTACAGCTGGAGGTGAATGCAGTGTGGGGGTTGGGGGGAAGGAGGGTCTCTGCCCCACGCTGAGGGTCTCTGTACCTGGCTGTCGATCCCAAGCATCAGCAACATTGAGAAGAAGAGGATGGCCCAGAGAGGAGAAACCGGCAGCTGTGTCACAGCCTCAGGATAAGCTAGGAACGCCAAGCCGGGACCTGAGAGAGAGATTAGGCTCAGTCACTGCGTACAGGGAATCCTCCCACTCAGTTCCCTCGAACCCTGCAAGCCAAAGCTCTAATGGGGAGGGTGGTCCAAGCTGGACAAGCAGCAGAAAAGCTTGCCAGACAGCGATATCAATGTCAAGCTATTTGGTTTTAGCTGGTTAGACTCCAGCAGTTACCCCAACGCATCCTCTGGGCTCCCCCCCAAGTCTTAGCTCTTGCCAACTCTCCAAAATTAGTTAAGCAGCATGTGTCCCTCCAGGGAGAGAGTGTACATTTCATTCCAACAATCTATCTCTGGGATTTCCGTACATGTAAATCTCAGTTTGGTTTGGATAATCTTAAGCGTGGAGATGGGTTTCCGAGTGTGTCAGACACCTGGCTGAGAGCAAGTCTACAACAACAACAACAACAAGATTCCATTTATAAAGCGCCTTTCACGTCAGGAGGACGTCCCAAGGCGCTGCACAGTTGGGTCATGACCCGAGCAAGGGGGAAATGGTCAGGGTGAGGGGAGGGAAGGAGCGAGGAGGGGGGAAATGGTCAGGGTGAGGGGAGGGAAGGGAGGGAGCGAGGAGGGGGAAGAGAGTCGAGAGGGGAGCTGAAGGCTCGGTCAAAGAGAAGTCTAATCCCTACATTACTGTATCTGTCAACCTGCTTCATCTACGGAGGCCAGAGAAACTGAACAGAAAGTCACAACCCGCTCTCTCTCCTTGTAGCTCACATCATTATCCTTGGCCACATACTACTAATAATAATAATCCTCGCCTGTGATCCAGCTCCTATAACATCAAACCACTCAGAGTGCTTCACATGGAACTCTGTATAACTGTAGTGACTGTGGAGGCAACCATGGATGGCAATGTCTCATAAAGGAAGTGTGGACCAATTTATCTGGATTTTTTTTTCCATCTATGTCATAATTAGTACATCGCACATGGCGATTTTCACCCCTTCCCCCCAAGCTCCCCCCTCCCCCCTAAAGATAGCGGGTCCCCGGGCTGGGAGTGGCCCCACCTGAGGCTGCCACATCAGCGATGGACCTGTGGGTCACGTTGGCCATGAAGCCCACGATGGAGAAGATGACAAAGCCGGCAAACATGCTGGTGGTGGAGTTTATGCAGCACACGATAACGGCGTCCCTGAAACACAGCCGGAAAGAGGATCAGCGTCGCTGCTTCATCTGCTCACAGAGTAAGATGTCCTCACAGATGGCAACCGCTCCGGGACGGTACCGCGCGTAAAGGGCGCCATATAAACGCAAGTTGTTGGGGTCTAATCTGGGGCTCGGGTTAACCCCTTCCCAGAATCTCGGCATCGCTTTTCAAGGGTTTTGCAATTTTTTTTTTTTTTGGTGGGGAGGGGGGGGGGGGGGGGGGGTCTAGCGCACACTACAGACTGCCACCCACTGTCTACCCGAATGTAGATCGCAACCAGTTAAGCGCACTCCTCAGCGGGTGTGTGTGGGTTGAGTTAATGCTCGTGAGAGGCTGAGCCGAGGAGATGTAAAGCTGTGACCGTGTCAGGGGCCGCAGGAGGGAGGGAGGGAGGGAGGGAGGGAGGGAGTTACCTGTAAACGTTGTTGTGGAATGGATTGTAACTCCCGAGAGCCACCAACGAGCCGAGCCCCAAACCATAGGAGAAGAAGATCTGAGTCGCTGCGTCCAGCCACACCTGAGAGAGAGATCGAGAGAGCGAGTTGGGGTGGGGGGTGGAGTGGGGGGCGTGTTGAGCGTGAATGTGGGGGGCGGTGGGTGCCACAGACGTACCTCGGAGTCGGACAGGCGGCTGAAGTCAGGAGTGATGTAGAACAAAATGCCTTCGTGAGCCCCGGGCAGCGTCACTCCGCGGAAGAAGAGAATCATCAGCATCACATAGGGGTACGTGGCCGAGAAATACACCACCTGTGGGGGGGGGAGACAGTGTCAGGGACCAGGCCAGGTTCAGATTGATCCCAGGGCCTGGGGACAGTATAGTTTGGGGGCCCCTGTTGGCATGTTCCTTTACTGTTTTACCACCCAGCCATGCCAAACACACACACGGTCACTCACCGGGGAGCGAAGCCCGTTTACCGCCCAAACCGCTGCCTCCGTGACAAAAGATCCATCGACCTGAAACGTTACCTCCATTTCCTGCCTTCACGGTTGCTGCCTGACTTGCTGAGGGTTCTCAGACACTTGTTTTTAGTTCAGATTTCCAGCGGCAGTGAATGTGAAGAATAAGACGATCATCAGTAGTGCAGTCATGTTGTTCCTGACAAACCAACTCGCTGAGTGCCATCAATACCCCATTAACACCCGCACCAAGGGTCAGATTGGAGGCTAACAGGTGACAGCTGGTCACACACACTGTGCAATGGCAAGCTGCTGAGCACACTGTGGTGTTGTACACACTGACTTCCCGGAGGGGAACACAGTGATGTGCTCACAGCAACACCAGAGAAACCGCACAATCTGACAATTTTACAGCTCGCTCAGAGAGAGAGGTCGTTCAGCCCCTTGTGAGCACACTGGCTCTCTGTAACAGTTAGTCATCCACTGGAGTAGAGAGCATCACTGGGGGAGCGAGCGAGCACACACACGAAGGGGAAAGAGAGGGCAAGGAATGGGGTTAGAGTAGAGAGCTCCAGTGGGGGAGCGAGCCCCAGCACAGACACGATGGGGAGAGAGAGGGCAGGGAATGGGGTTAGAGTAGAGAGCTCCAGTGGGGTCTGGTTTGAGAGGTGAACTCTATCGGTAATATGTGTGTGAAAACCTGCATTATTTGGGAGGAACGTGGTTTGCGATGGTACAATGCTATGAGATGTTTGACATGCCGACTCTAGGCTAAGATTATTATAATTTTCATTTTTAACATTTTCAAGGCTGAGACTGATAGATTTTTTTTAAAAATAGAGGGATCAGGGGATGTGGGGATAGGGCAGGTAATTAGAGTTAGGTAGGAAGATCAGCCATGATCTTATCGAATGGGGGTGCAGGCTCGAGGCGCCGAATGGCCTACTCCTGCTCCTAAATTCTTATGTTCTTATGTTCTTAAGATGGGTTTTTAATTCTGCCTCTGGCTGCTGTGTACATTGGCGGTGTTTTCTGGTTGGGATGTGATCCCGGTAGTCCTGGCTGTATTCGGGAATAAACCTCCCAAATGCTATCTCCCCCTCCTCATGCAGTTAATCCCAGGAAAGATGGAGTCACTCAAGAACCAGCTGTAATCACTCTATACAATGATCAGAGTTTATATAAAGAAAGCCTTTGATTGCAGGAAATATGCTGTGTGTGGAATGCGGTGACTGTAATTTGCCACCTTGGTAACCAGCTCACGTTCTCTGCAGCTGTGTGATCTCTGGTCGTCAGTAACAATACAATAATAACAATAATCCTTGCATTTCATACAGCGCCTTTTCACGCTGTTGAGACATCTCAAAGCGCTTCACAGGTAACTCAAAGCTGTAAAGTGGAGTGAACGCATATTTTGTGGGTGAAAAATGCCTACCTCTCTGACCTCCTCTCTCCTCAAAACAGCACCCATTGCCTTCGATCCTCTGGGTCTGGCCTCCTCCTTGTCCCCCGAGTCCTCCGCTCCACCCTCGGCGGCAGTGCTTTCAGCCACTATGCCCCGAGGCTCTGGAACTGCCTTCCTCACTCCCTTTACCTCGCTCCCTCTCTTCCTACTTTCAGGTCCCTTCTGAAAACTTTGCTTTTCGACCGCGCATTTGGTCACCTTCCTCCCCCCGGCACGGCCCTGGGATCCATTACTGTGAAGCACTCTGAGACGCCGTCTGGGGTGGAGGGCGCTATATAAATCCATGTTGCTGTTGAAAAGCAGCAGCCAATTGGTTACATCAGTCTCCCCCAAACAGCAATGGTTTGAGTGACCAAATTTCTTTTTTTTCTTGGACAGATTATTACCCCTGGGAAAGCGATCCGCCAATCGACTAACATCTAGGTTTCTACTTACTGCTAGATCTTTAATCTTCCTCAGAACAGGGCAATAATGGGAGCTCCATTTAACATCTCATCTGAAAGCCGGTGTCTCTGACGATCCTGTGCCCCCCCCTCGCCCCTCGCCCCTGCCCCTCACCCCTGCCCCTTGCCCCCCGCATTGTTGTTGGTTGTATCTCTCCTCCCAGCGCAGTCCTCACCGGGTCACCTGGGCGCAGTGTCGTGAGGACCGATTAAACTCTTAATGATGAAAAATAATGATTCATCCGGGGAAGCGAGCTGAACAGAGACTGTTTAACGCTCCTCAAATAAACAGATCCCCTCAGGAGTTAGCGCTGTGTCGAAAGATAGAGAGAGCTTCATTACCGTACACTCAGACTCCATTAAGTGTGGAGATTAATGTGAAAAGGTTAATTAAAATTCAATTTTCCTCGAATATGGAAGTAGTTACTCGGAATGATTTCACTGATCAACAATATCACAGAGCAGTAAATAGGAGCAATACTGACTCGCAGCACAGGACACACACTGACATTCCAGCGCTGATCTAGGTGACGCATAAAGGGGACCATCTTGTCTCTCCACCATTCCTTATCCTGCTTTACCTTATTCTTCCCCCTGAAATCTGTCTCCCGCTTGTGTTTACGGCTCAGGTCTGTTCCTGGTATGATTCGTTCTCCTATGAGGACAGGATGGTGTTTAAGGTGGGTCATTCTGGAAGGAAAATAATTACATTTGATCCAGTGTCTTTCACATGGGGGAGAACGTCTCTCAGCACTTTATGGGTTTTACTGTATAGTGTAGTCACTGTGCGTGCTGTGGGTGAATGAGGTCAGATGGGTCAAAGGGACATCTTCACCCAAACCCATCTTGTGATCAAGTCTCAACCAACAGCCACGTGTAGGAATGACTAGCCTGCTCATGCCTGTCCCTGACCCTTAGCCAGACTTTGGCTTGAGTTTGTGTACCAACTGATTACATCTTTTACTCCTTGTGTCCCACAGTCTGACCCCTGAGCCCTCGATACCTGACCCAGACTGTCTGGGGGGGTGGGGAAGGGGTGGGTGGGGGACAGGCTTTATTCATTGGGAGCCATTGGGAGTGTTATTGTGTCACGGGTTACTTACCGTTTTGCTGTGGATGTAGCAGAGCAGACTGGAGCCTGTGTATAAATATCTCATTATCTGGGGGGGATTAAATGGCTGACGAGTTAACGAACAAACTGATAACTCGCTGGAGCCTGTGGCTTTCCACTTGTTGTGCTGAGTGAGAACACACATTCCCCAGGTTGCGCTGTGCCGGAAAATGTCTGGTTAGCGGTAACCAGAGTTATCTGACCATCCACCCCCCCCCGATACCCAAGTCAACACAAAACAAATCTGCGTTACAAAGTGGCGCCCGGTTTCAGGACTCTTATATTAATTTATCTCAATATCCATTTATATCAACGTATAAAACATATGAAACGCTCTATATTGTGCTCAGCACAGGAGATCATTCAGCCATTCCCCTGCTCTCTCTCTCCCCATCATGTCTGTGCTGGGGCTCGCTCCCCCACTGGAGCTCTCTACTCTAACCCCATTCCCTGCTCTCTCTCTCCCCATCGTGTCTGTGCTGGGGCTCACTCCCCCACTGGAGCTCTCTACTCTAACCCCATTCCCTGCTCTCTCTCTCCCCATCGTGTCTGTGCTGGGGCTCGCTCCCCCACTGGAGCTCTCTGCTCTAACCCCATTCCCTGCTCTCTCTCTCCCCATCGTGTCTGTGCTGGGGCTCGGTCCCCCACTGGAGCTCTCTGCTCTAACCCCATGCTGTACTTTTTCTGTCATTGAGCCTCTCCGCTCATTCCTGGCCAGATCTCTGACTGTGTATCAGTATCGTCTAAACACAGCTTCAGTATTCCCAGCCTTTCCCTTCATTCCCAATAGATTCCTCGGTTCAGTTGTTGTTGGACAATGTTTTGCCACTTTTTGTGGAACTCGATTAACCCCGCTGTAGCTCACAGTGGGCAAGCGCTGTGTCCAGGACGCTGAATGCCAGGAGGAGCACTGGGAGTGTCACACTTAGCACAGCTCTGTTGTTCTTTCCCTAAATGGGAAACAGCTGGCACAGCTGGCAGACATCAAAGTGGCAGCTTTACCAGCTGTTTATGCCACAATCCTCTTTGGCTCATCACAGTCCCTCGGTCACCAGCCACTGTCTTTCACACCACTCAGAGAGTGAGAGGGAGAGCGCGAGAGAGAGGTGAAAGTATTAGAGTGAGAGTGTGAGAGCAAGTGATAGAATGAGAGAGCAAAAGATGAAAGGATAGTGCGAGAGCGAGAGAGGAGAAAGCAAGAGAGTGAGAGAGCTAGAATGATAGAGCGTACGATAGAATGAGAGAGCAAGAGAGGAGAGGAGAGAGTGAGAGCGAGAGAGAGATAGTGCGAGAGAATGATATAATGAGTGTGACAGAGCAAGTGATAGAATGAGGGTGAGAGCAAGAGCGAGAGAGTATGTTAGAGTGAGCGAGAGTGAGTCAGAGAGAGACAGAGAGACAGAATAATAATAATAATCCTTGCATTTGATATAGCATTGTATCACATTTTCGAGATGCCTCAAAGGGCTTCACAGAATCTACTGTAAAGTGAATTGAAGAGAGAGAGTCTAGAGAGAGAGAGACAGCCTGCAGCCCAGGCAGATAACAAGGCGTCAGAAATCAACCAGTCTGCACACATTAACAGGTTTGTCTCAGTGGCTTTTATCGGTGTGGCCTCCACATGAAGGAGCACAGAGGAAATGAAATGGGGCCAGAAATTACCATTTAGATAAACTCAGTGGCTGGGATGGCTTCCACTCCATTAAGTGCAGTTTGTCTGGATTAATGGTGGTTTGTGATTTGGCTGTGTTGCCACTCGGGAGGGAGGGGAGTTGGTATCTGTGCACAGCCTTTGCTGGGAGAAGCCCCAGCTCTCACCCTCAGCAC